CTCAAGATGCAAATAACCGTGAACGGGAATGATTCACCGCACACATGGATTAACCATCAGTCTATAACACCCAAAAGTGACATCTGTATGGTCAATCATTTGTTCACGAAAGCAAACAAACACGTCTCCATCAGAACAATCAGTCCACAAGAGAGTCCGCAAACCTTGTAATAGAGGCCTGAGATGGAAAATGCACTATGGGGAGATAGAACATGGAAGTATTCTGTGGGACAGACTCTCATAAATAGCACCCGTGAAGATACGCATCGAAACCCCCACATCGACAACGTCCATGGATCGCGAGAACACAATAAACTGTCACTATTTCACAAAGAGGAAGTTAACTCTAGAGCGCTCAATTAATGTTGGAGAAAAGGATTTCGGAAAATCCGGTATGCAATATATTTCATGATCGGCTGACAACCTTAAATGCTCATTCATCATTAAACCATCGGTAGCTAATCGTCTCTCGTGAATTTTGTGTATTGATGTGTTAATAAAAAAGTGATATTTATCAGTTGAGCTTATTTACATTTCAGTCACGATTTATAAGATGACCACCTCTGTGAATCGATGGATCATGTGAAATATCAAAGCCCATTCCTTGGGGTGCAAGCAACGGACGAACAAGTGATGAATGTGTAACGGTTAATGCGTTGACGAGCAGTGAGAATGAATGATAGAAAGGGGAAAGTGCCAAAGGAATAGCGCTGTCATCTAGAAAATATTTTACAATTTTACGATTAACAACAATACACACAAAAAAGTTCAGGTGATAGCTCAGTAAAAATGAGCGACGAATTACGGTCGATTTTCAGTGGGATTTGCAAACAACAAATATTACCATTAGCACACAAAAATGAGTGATAAAATGAATATAATAAACCAGAAGACCAAAACAAGACTTTCGAGATGTTTTGTTTATACCGGTTTTCATTCCATTTACCAATTTAAGATCGGTACCGAATCATTCTTAGCTGAAATACGAACATCCGGAATTGAAAAACGTGCAATTGAACCGACGGGTTCTGCAAACATTAACCCAATGATGCGGTGAGATTTATACAGGTTAGTATACCGGTTGAAAATTTAAGGCATTTGCATCGTACACTGATCGTATTTGTGCTTTCTTCGACTGGCAGTGTTTGATCAATCTGTCCTTCACTGACCATTGGCGTTGGAATTCACATCACTGATTCGAGATGTCCACTTTCGTTCCTTCACAAAGCATGCGTTCTGCTGATATACATGCGTATGTGTGTGTGAAGTGAACTCCCATCGGATCCACATATGCAAGCTCTCCGGCTGGGGAACAGCGCTTGATTGCACAATACCTGCACAAATGGCAGACCCTGTGGGGGTCAGTGCAAATGTACAATCACCGTTTAGTTAACTCACGGATTTGGCTTCTATCTTGGATTTAAGCATCTATCGGTTTACTTGTGTTGTGAGCATCTAAGATGCCTAGTTAAACCATAATTTAGTCGCTTCTTTTGTTTTCGTCAGGGCAGAAAAAAATTCTCAAAAGAAAACAGGCGTGCTCACCTGCATTAACGTCCTCTGGAGCGTAAATTAAGAGGCTGTAATTATTCAATGTCTAACTGTTTCAGGTTCTCTAGACTTATAAACACTATAGTTAAAAACAAATTATATAGCTTCTTCTCACTCTCTGACATTAATTATTTACACTGTTCATTCTTATCGTTTCTATTCTCTTTAATAGATCATATATACCACATATTTTCCGCTAAATCCGGAGCCCTTGTTTCCACTAGTGAACATATTCTTTTACTGACTGGATCTAAAATCTATTCCAGATCATAAATTTCATCAGTCCAAACAAATCAAATTTTTGCCTCGTAACTTTTCATTCCATAACATTGATCCTATAAAGCTATTTCTTTATATTACTTCCTCGCGGTTTCTCTCTGAGTCCTTGCCTCCAAATAACGTCAGTTTATTTGCTAAACATTCACTTATATCCTACAGAGTGTAGTCATCCACAATAATAGAATAACATCCTGATTGCTAAGGTCTCTAAGAAAACCGAAGTAGCATACGTATTAAGCCTGAGATTGTATTTACGTTAAATATGGTGT